CCAGGAGTCCATGGATGTGCTGCTCCAGTCCAGCAAGAAAACCCTTTATAACACTGGTTCAGCACCTTCTTGGTGCCATTTCAGGTGGATAATTTTCCCTGCCAGGCTCGGGATGCAGGGGGGCAGCCCGGGCAGGAGAGGGGGGCAGGGCCACAGCAGTGCAACACTCCCAGTGTTTGCTTGGAGCTCCCTCCTGCTGGATGATCCCGAGCCATTCCAGGTCAGGAGGACAGGCCTGGCAGCTCAGCTGGGACATCCCCTCCTGACCTTCACCCTGCGCTCCAGCTTGGCCCCTCCTGCTGCTCAGAAGACCCATTTCATCCCCAAAGGCCAAAGCATCCTTGCTTTTGGCCAGCTCAGGAGGCACTGTGTGCCCACAGCACCCCCAAGACAGGCCCCCAAGCCCCAGCACATTCCTCACTGTGCAGGCACAAGGGTTGTGCTGGTCAGGGGCAGGGTTTGACGGCACCTCCCTCGGCCAGGACAAAGTGCAGAGGGAAACAGTGTCCTTCAGCACACAGCTGAAATGGATTTGGGAAAGTGGAGAAGGCCTGGAATTATAAACACTCATGGACAGAACATATTGGAGACCCCCCAGCCAGCCCCAAACAGCCTCTCACCAACAGGGAAACCTCAACAGCACCCACAGCCCAAAGCCTAAATCAGCACCCCCGGAGGACCCCAGAGGAGGATCCCACTCCTTCACAACAGAGAAAGCAATTCCTCCTCCCTCTGCTGGCTGAGGGTGTTGGGAGGTGCGGGGACAAGGCAGCAAAGAAAAGTGTTTTTTAAGCTCCATTTTAATTTTTTCACATGTGTGGTGGAAAAAAAGGTTCTTTTAGTGCCGAACAAAAACACAGCACAAGGCCTGCGACAGGCTGTGAGGGCCCTGAGCGGGACAGAGACATGGCAGGCCACAAAACAAAAAGTAACTGGAAATTTTTTACTTGCCATTTGTGCCTAATTCTCAAAATTAATCACATCTGACTGCTCTCCCTGTAACGAAGGCAAGAAATCTCCCTTTTCCTTTCAAAATGAAAATTATCAGCAGAGGACTGTAAAGCCATGTTAGAAGCACCAAGATCCTACAAGAAAACTGGAGAGGGACCTTGGACATGGGCCTGGAGTGACAGGACACAGGGCAGGTTTAGGTTGGACATTAGGAAGAAATTTTTTACAGAGTGCTCAGCCATTGGAATGGGCTGCCCAGGGAGGGGGTGGATTCTCCATCCCTGGAGGTGTTTAAGGTGAGACTGGATGTGGCATCAGTGCCATGGGCTGGGAACCACGGCGGGGTTGGATCAAGGGTTGGACTTGATGATCTGAGAGGTCCCTTCCAACTCAGCTGATTCTGTGATTCTGTGACACGGGGGAATGGTTTCCCACTGCCAGAGGGCAGGGTTAGGTGGGATATTGGGAAGGAATTCTTCCCTGGGAGGGTGGGGAGGCCCTGGCACAGGTTGCCCACAGAAGCTGTGGCTGCCCCTGGATCCCTGGAAGTGTCCAAGGCCAGGTTGGAGGGGGCTTGGAGTAACCTGGGCTGGTGGAAGGTGTCCCTGCCCATGGCAGGGGGTGGAATTGGATGATCCTTAAGGTCCCTTCCAACCCAAACCATTTTGGGATTTTGTGATCCAGCCATGTCACCTGACACTGGTGACAATCACAAGGCCCTGCTCCACCCCCAGTGAAATGCTTCCACATGGGAGAGAGAAATGCATGGAAACAATGGGATAATTACCCAAAGCAGGGCTGGAGTAATTAGTTTTAAAACAGAGGTTTTAAAACTAATTTGCTTTACTGCAGGACGGAGAATTAAGGAAGCTGCCTCTGTTACAAACCCCAAAACCTCTGTGAGCCCAGAGAGCCACTGAGGACGATGCAAGAAGCCGAAGAGGGAGGGAGGTTCCACACATTTCTGCTGGGTATTCCACTGAAAAATGCCTCCTAGCCCAGATGGAAAGGGATGACTGTGTTATCCCAGAATTCTGCCCTTGTTTGCAGTGTGCAAAAAGGATGAACATTAAGGAGTGGGCCTGGTCTTAGAGACACAAGCAGAAGGGAAGGGAGAAAGTATTTCTCTTCCTGCAAGGAAAAGCAATTTTATCAGTTTATCAGGCAGGAACCTGTTTCCAGGGCCAGCTGGAATTTCTGCTTCTGTGGCTGCTCCCTTGGGCTTGGGACAGCACAGGCTCAGCCATGGTTTTACACAGAATAGATGAGAATGGACAGTGTATGATACCTGTGTGAATATGTACATAGAGCTTATCTATATTCATCTATGGTCACACACCTACAGCAAAAGCAGTGTCTCCCCAAGCTCTTTCTGAAAAAACTAAGACTGGCTGAATTGCCTCTGGAGGCACTTCCCTGTCTTCACCTTTGGAATAGTTAAAATAATGAAAAAGCTGAAATAATTAATAATAATGAATAATAAAACAGCTAAAATAAGCAAAGAGCTAAACCCACCAGATTTCTTAGCCAAAGAACTGGAGCTGGGTGAGGTCCCTTCAATCCAAAGGCTTGTACAGATGGAATAGTGCATGTTAAAGATCAGCAACAGCCCTTGAAGCTGTTTGTCTTGGGGAAAGATGTTTCTCTTTAGGAGGAAGATATTTCAAGTAAGATCTTCTTTCAAAAAAGCCTTTTCCCTCCTCCTATCACGAGGCTCAGAGCAACCCTTCTGCTCCCTCATCTCTCTGCACCTGAGGGAGAGGACACCTGGAGCTGTGCTCCCTTCCCTGCCATGGGATTTTACGGTTCATCCAAAATCCTTTCAGCCCAAATTAGAGCCTCTTGAGAAGAGCCCTTCCAAGGTGGACAGACAGCTGGAACTAGAGTGAGCTGTGACACAGGGGAAGTGCCAAAATGTCTCTGTATATGAGGGCAGAGCCAGACAGGTCCAACCAAGCCCCAGTTTGGATCCCCATGAACTTTGTGGGAATACAAGCCTCTGCAGATCCCTTGGCACTGCTGGAAAAACCAAGGAAGGCTTTCAGGGGGACAGGCTTGTCCTGCTACCTCCCCACTGTCTCTGACCCAGGTAATCTGCTCCACAGACAACAAGCACTGCCCTTCACCACGGCAAGAACAATTCAGAAACAGAAAAGCAAACAATTCTCTTGTAAGCTGATGTGGCTTTGCAGTTTGCTGTCTGTCCAGGCTGAAGCTGAACTGGTAGTTCTTGTGCAGCTGCTGTTTTCTGTTCAACATCTACTTTCAGTTGTGTCTCAAAGCTTGGCCTCTCACTTCCTTGGATGCTCTTCCAGTGATCTGGAATAAACCTCTAGGATAAAACTGAGCAGAGGGGCAGAACAGAGAGCTGGAGAAATGTTATGGGAAAGATTAACAGGTAAGTTCTAATGATCTTTAGCTGCCAGAATCACACTCGACTTTCTTTTTTCTGGACTTTCAGAGCTTTCCTGCTGTTTCTATCTCTGTCCCTCCCCCAGCAGACACCATCACAGGCACTTCCACCTGATTACAGCCCAACACCCCCCGCAATTCCTGACTAACCCTGTCCTGTTTGCAGCAGCTTGGAAAATCTGCTTTTTCTTCTCCTTGCTTATGTTTCCAGGTGCCCAAACCTCCCTGACAAGCTGCCCCCTGGCTGGCACAACCCAGGGATCTCAGGGTGTGGTGTCCCTGCCTGGAGGACACAACACACAATGCCTGGGAATGACCGGGAATGCCCCGCCCTCAATGGAAACATTTTAGAAACTGCTCCTCCTTTACACCGTTTCTGGTTATAGAAGTTGATTAAATCCTTGTTCTGGCCAGAAGCTTCCAGCAAGAGAGCTCATTCTCCCTTATTTTGGTGATACCCAGCAGTTATTTCAGCGGGACAGAAGCACATGAGGGCAGCTGATCCCACTGGTTGTGCTGAACAGGCCAGGAGAGGTTGGGTTGTTCCAGTGCCCTGAGCAAGGCCCCCAACCCTCTGAGTCACAACCCTCTGACTCCACAGCAGAGACAGAAGCATTTACCTGCCAGAAGGGGGGGATAAAGGGATTATTCTTTGAAAGGTACCAAAACTTCAGGCTGCCTGACCACAGCACAACTTCTTTTGTTAAGTTCTCCCAGGAAATCCAGAGGCAAGACTCAGATTTCTCTGTCCTGGCTGGACCTACAAGAGCTCAGACTAACTGGGTAAGGTGAAGGAGAGCTGGGCAGGGCAGAAGCCATGGAGAGAACCAGCCCAGCCCTTTGCAGTACCTAAAATCTGCCTCCCACATCTCCTGACAGCCAATTTCCAGCTCAGAGGAAAAAAAACCATGGAGAAGGACAGCTCTGCCTGCCTCCCAAAAGATGCCTGCAGGCAGAGCTGGGGCAAACACAGCCACCCCCTCCTGAGAACCCCCTCCTTAAGCTGCTTTCTCAGAGCCAGCTCAAGCAGAAACTCCTCTTTTTGCCTCCACACTCCAAGCTCACATCAGCCTTACGGGTAGCAAGAGGCATTTGTGTTCATACACCACTTTTGGAATGGACACACTGAAAGGAGTTTTTTCTAAAAAAAAATGAAACCCAACTGGTATCTGCTCCTAGAAATGACTTCTCCTGCATCATTGAGGTTATTCCAGAGCCTCCACTCAAGATGTTGCACTCCAGCATTAGCCATCAGGATTTCACAGTCTCAAAACCCACCTATAAAATACACCTATAAAGCTCTCCTTGCAAGCCAGAGCTCAAAAGTAAGAGGTTTGAACAATTATTTATTCCTTTATTAACTTGGATTTGTTGATCCAATTATACTGAAATCAAACTTTGTATTTAATGCACTAAAATACAGCAGCCACACTGTATTTGTTTTTAAGTATGTTAAAGGTACTTGACCCAGGAAAAAGTCAGTTAGTAGAAACAGAAAGTATCATTTTTCTTCAGCTATTTTAGTGTGTCCCAACAGCAATTCATCAAAACAAAAAGGCAACTAGCACTTCTCCAGAAAGTGTTACTCCCAGCAGGAGGAGTAGAAACAAGAGGAAGAAACAAGAATACAACAATAATGTTACAAGAGGCACTGATCCTGGCTTTATTCACTTTAAGATACATCCAACATTGTTATAGCTCACTTGAAATTCAAAATGTTTTTAAAGAAACCAACCATAAAACCTTGATTCTTGCCTTACAGTGCTGTCAAGTTTGCAAACAGCGAGTGACTTCCCAGCAAGGCTGTGCTCTGTATTAACAAAGGTTACAACTTAGTACAAACCTTTCAAGTTCCTGATTTTGGAGGAATTGCATCCAGAATGAGCACTTGCCCTGGGGAGGAGGCTGCTGTGCTCACCTGCAGGGGTGGGTGCTGTGACACCTTCCCCTCACCCTGGGGCACTTTGGCAATCAAGTGACAACTGATCCCCCTTAAGGTCCCCAGGAGGGACTTCACTCCCCCTGAGCATCTTTGTGCTTGACTGGGAAGACCAGCAGGGACAGCACTGAGTGTGTCCCCTCGAGATTCCTGACAGACTGTGAGCAGAGGGAAGTGCTCAGGATGATCCCAAAGCAAAATGTGTTAATTTGGAACTCAAACTACTTGGCAGCATCTTCTGTAAATTCAAGATTTATAGAAGACTGGGTCGCAGCCAGCACACAATGACATTTAGACCTACTTTTTTTTTTTTGATGCATTTAGATTCATTTTAAAGTGATGAAGAGTGCAGGACTTCAGAAATATAAACATTTCTCTATTAGAAATTGCAAACTTTAGTACTATGACACTATGAAAACTTACAGTACAGTTTACTGATTCTGTGTTAAGATTCAGCATCATTCTGGTGTCTGAAGTCTCTCAGAGCTACTTTTTGCCTAAGGCAGCAGTACCAACAAGTCCTGCTGTCCCTGTCTGTGCACCCAAGGGTGTAAAAGCACAAGCAGGTCTCACACTGGCACAGCCCTGTGACTCTGGGACTGGTTTCTCTGTTTAATGACAGCCTAACTAAAAATCAGCTTGTTAGGGAAAAGCAAAATAACCTCTACCTTAATCTTCATTCTGGGTCTTGGACACAGTTCAGTGACATGATCTGCAGAACAACACACCAACCGTTCCCACCAGCGCTGAGAGAGGAAACTGAAGGAAGAATCCAAATCCAAGACACTCACTGTTATAGGATCTTTAATTTATCTCGTCTTTTACACAAGTCTGAACGGATTAAAAAGCACCTCCTTTCCCATCACGTTCCTTACAGTTGGTAAAATATATTCAATGAGCAAATGTATGTGAACAGCTTGAGGATCTGCATCTTGCAAGGGTTTCACAGCCCAACCAACCAAAAGCCAAATTTCTCGCGGTTTTTACAATCTCGTTTTAACGCAACGGTCAATCCGCTCCTGGAAACCTGTCCAGTGCCACCTCCCCAGAACACTGTGCACAATCCAGTGGTGATTAGCAGACTAATTAGCTTTGGCACGGAGCTGGGCTCTCTTGCCTGTGACAGCCTGGAAGCCTGTTTTGATGCTGGCGACGGAGCAGCGGGAGTGGCAGGTCTCGCACTGCAGGAAGTATAACCTGGTGTCCTTCTGCAGGATGGTGTCCGGGGAGCGACACGTGTGGCAGGTGACATACTCCTCTGAGGGGAGGAACACAGGGGCAGTTAAACATCATGCACGTGAAGGCATCACTTCTTGAGAGTTTAGGCCCGGAACACTGTCAAAAGGCACCTGCTAACTCAGAGGGGCTTGCTGTGGAAACCCTAAAGTTGCCCCCCAGTTCCCAGGTTAATAAAGATGAGGTTTCGTAGGCACTTGTTACCTAAAATCTAAGAAAAAATTCCTCTGCACAGTTTTGAGTATACAAAGGTAAAGAGCAGTTCTTTAATTAAAGGAATTCTGAGTATAGAAAGGTAAAGAGCATTTAAAAGATAATGCAGACAAGTCACCACTTCTTGAGCCTTTAGTCTTGAAACACTGTTCAAATGCATCTGCTAACTCAGAAGGGCTTACTATGAAAAGCTAGAAGTTGCCCCCCAGTTCCCAGGTTAATAAAGATGAGGTTTCATACTGTACATTATGCACCTGTTAGTTAAAATTGAAGAAAACACTCTCTGGATAATTTTGAGGGTAAAGTGCAGTTAAAAGATAATGCAGCCAAGTCACCACTTTGGCCTTTAGCCTTGAAACACTGTTAAAATCCATCCACTAACTCAGAAGGGTTTACTATGAAAAGCTAGAAGTTGCCTGCAGTTCCCAGGTTAATAAAGATGAGGTTTCATATGGTACGTTATGCACTTGTTACCTAAAAATCTAAGAAAAAATTCTCTGCACAGTTTTGAGGACAGAAAGGTAAAGAGCAGTTTTTTAAGGGCACAACATACATACTGCCCCCCACACAGCAGAGGCCTCACA